TTAAAATTATATTATTTTAATTTATATTTTGAAAATATAATATTTTTATCTTTTTAAATAAAAACTCATTTAAATTATATAATTTTAAGATAATTTTCAAGATAAAACAAATAAACACTGCACCCATATTTTATCAGTATTTGAAATAATAAATGTAACTAATCATTCTTCGTCCGTACTTGCGGTTTCATACGTGTTTAGTATTTTTATCAGTTTTTCGCTGCTGACTTTAACTGAGTCTTTACCCCTTTCTGTTCTTCCTCAATTTCCCACAAATATGGAATGCCTGTTACTCCCTTCGATTTCTTTCTCTGCTTCTTTTTTAACTGTTTAAACTTCTCAACCGGACATCCTCTTCAAATCTTCTCCTCTGATTTCCCTGGAAAGTCGATTTCCTGTCTTGGGTAGGTATAGAAGAAATTAAAGCAAGTGATGATATCTAAGCCTTAATACAATTTACGCCGCAATAACTGAATAATAAATTTGAGATTTCCTCCCATAATTAGCTAAATTACTATTTTAATGCAAATTGATTCCTTATCTCGTAATATCTCTTAAGGTTTTTTCTAAGCTGTGACTATCAGAGTTCTTAATTTCAGTTTCTCATTCCGAATATGGTTGTGAAGCATTGAGTTTGTGAAGCTGGGGAGAGGTTTATCTGGGTTCTGGGTCAAATGGGTAGGCGAAAAGGAAAAGGGAAAGGTTTTATCAATGTTGAAGGGTTCGTGGAGTTCTTCAAGTACATGATGGAGGAGAAGCCTTTCCTGCGTTTCTTGATCCCTTTGGTTATGGTGTTTTGGGCTATAGAGAAATGGGTTTTCTCTTTCTCAAACTGGGTTCCTCTTGTTGTTGTCGTGTGGGCAACTATTCAGGCAAGTACCTCATGATTCCCTCTCACCCTCTTTAAAGTTAATGGAATCCTGAATCCATTTTTATATTTTTGGGATTAAGATTCTTCCTTTTTTTGTGTTTGTGATTATTTAATATGAAATGGTATCCATGTTAGGCTGATTAAAAAAAAAAAAGAAAAAAAAAGAGGGTATCCATGTTACTTGTCTAGTTTTTATAAGAGATTTGATTTGAATCAAAAAATTTTGTTGACATTTCAGTAATATTTGCTTAAGGGGCTGTCATTTTGTTCAGTTGTCCTTAACTGTCTTTCTGTTATTACCAGTTCAGGTGGTCATGATGAATTAAGAGGTAAAAAACTACTAACATCATGACATAAAGTACTTTTCTTGTTTGCAGTATTGTAATTATCAGCACCAAATAGTTGTTGAAGACCTGAATAAAAAGTGGAAGCAAGTCACATTGAACACATTGGTACCCATCGATCTCTTGCTTTTCTACTTCTATGATGTATGAGTTTTGTTAACGTAGTTTTCTTCAATCTCTTGCCATAAAAACAGCCAATAACGCCGTTGGAACATTGTGAGTGGCTGAACAAGCTTTTGATGGAAGTTTGGCAGAGCTATCTAAGCCCAAACCTTGCTTTAAGGTTCCAATCCATGGTTGAGGTGAGAATAATGTAACATATTTTATATGGTTTCTAATCAAATCAATTTGATATAAATAAATGGATTTTAATCAAATCAATTACCTGGACTTGCTTGCTTGCAGAGGCGTTTGAAGCATAATAAATCAAGAATTGTAGTAAGTGATCTGATTTTGATATTGTTCAAAGAAAAACAAGTTAAATTCTATTGAATAATCTGATTATTTAAGTATTGCATTTTACATGTTCCTGTGGAAAACTGTTCTTCATGTAGGAAAAGATTGAATTGCTGGAGTTCTCATTAGGTTCATGCCCACCATGCCTGGGTCTTCAAGGGACTCGCTGGGCAACTACTGGTGATCAGGTTTGGCTCCATGTTTCACTATTATGTGTTTTACAGTAGACTAGGAATTATTCAAGTGATTTCATTTGTTGACTGCATTATTGAAGTCAGTAAGAAAGGATTACATGAATATAGAGATGCTTTGATATATTGTTTTTGTTAAATCTTAGGAATATACTGATTATTTGGTAGTTTTATTCCCTTTAATATATATTTTAGTGCTTGAGTAACAATGATTATCTTATAAATTAGGAATTGGCCTGTTTGGTAGTATTGCTTCAACTGTTTATGTTCTCCAAGCTTGATTGTGACATCATAAGAAATAGTGCAATGATTTTAGAGCTATTATGTTAATTCTTTTTTCTTGTTAGGGGATGGGGTAGGCTTTAAAGAAATTTAAATATGGAAAGGAAAGTTATCTCTGTACCTTGATCATTTGGGAATTGGAAACAAAAATCTGGTCCCTTTTAACCACCATGTTATACTTTGACCATGGACTGGGGTAAGGACAATTTACAATAATTTGCAGATGAAGGTGGTTTGTAATTCCATAATAGCTGCTTATCAGTCCATGTTCCAACTTCCCTACTGTTAACCAGGAGGTTTTGACTCGGATGAGTTGTTTGATATGGTGGAACCTTTAGGCTCAATGGTTGTATAGCCCATTGTTACCAAATCTTGATCACCTGTGATACATGCCTGAGATTTTTTGAAATCTGAGAATAGCAGACAATGAGGTTTTTGAATAAAGTGCCTTAGTTTATTTGCAAGTAGCTATTTTTTCTGTATTTGATTGTATAGTTTTCTTTCACTGGTTATTCTTTTTCTACCCTTAAAGAAGTGAGTTTGTTGGGATCTTCACAAAGCATCTCTTGCTCATTTTTACAGAGAGTTATGTGTTTAGCCTTTGACTGGGACACAAATAAAATAAGCATCATGTTGCTTGCTAAATTGGCCAAGCCCTTACTTGGAACTGCCAGGATTGTTGTAAACAGTCTCCACATCAAGGGTGATGTATGTTTATTTGTAGTTTATTCTTATGTTTGTAATACAATTGATTCCCAAATGTGATGGCTTTGACTAATCATTTTGATTTTCTTGTCCTGTTTATAGATTATATAATGAAAAGTGCACATGGGGGTGCATGTGCTTTTTCTTGTCATACATGTGTCTTTTACTCAGTTATTAGGATCTAATTGATTACATGTGCTTTTTAACCTCTTGATTCTGAATTTGAGTATCTTGGGCTTTATTTTCCTTGAGTGATCCCTCTTTTTGCACCCTATTTTTTTCCCCTTGCTTGTCTCCTCCATGTTTCATGGTTCTTAAAGTTCTGTTCTATGTTTTCCACTCATCTTAGAGTTAACTAGAATGTAGAATCTACTTATGAGTTTAAGAGGATGTTGACTTCTTTACTGAATTGCAGTTTTGATATTTTTTAATTAATATAATCTCTGATTTCCACTTCGCAGCTTCTCTTAATGCCAATTCTAGATGGGAAAGCAATATTATACTCATTTGTATGTACGCCTGAAATAAGAGTAGGAGTGGCCTTTGGAAGTGGAGGAAGCCAATCACTACCTGCCACAGAACTGCCTGGTGTTTCTTCTTGTTTGGTATGTTTTGTTACTAAATCAAAATTTTCCAATAGAGGATTGATTTTTTGATTGTGCTATTTTTTCCCTAATGTCCTTGTAAATGTTCTCTGTGTTTTGGGTGTTGGTAGAGAAATCATTTTAACTGTTCAATGTGAATTTTGTAATTTTGATGCTGGTAAGCATTTTATATCACCCTCAAAAGAGGGATAATGAAAAATAAGCAAGTCTTGAATTGTTTCTGAGAGCTACCATTGTCTCTGGTCATTGGAACAAAACCTAATGCTTTAAATGAAGCTTATAACTTGTTAAAATCCTATTCTATATTTAGTGAAGAACAGTTGGTTGAAAAGTAGATGTAAATCCCTTACTGTACATTTGTACTCTATATAAACATTGTTACCTTGCCAAACTAGCATTATACATTTTGCTCAGACTGATTATCCTTTGAATATAAATTTTTAACTTTAACTTGCATCACAACAAATCTAGATCTTTACCATAAAGGCCAATTCTTATTTTATTTATTATTTTAATGCAGGTCAAACTTTTGACGGACACCATAGCTAAGACAATGGTTGAACCACGCAGGCGTTGTCACTCATTGCCAGCTGTAGATTTAAGGAAAAAGGCCATTGGTGGCATTGTACACGTGAAAGTCATTTCTGCAAGTAAACTTTCTAGAATTAGCTCAAGGGGAAGTCTGTCAAGAAGGCATCAAACTTCTTCTGTAGATGGTTTTCAAGATCTAATTCATGATAAAGATCAACAGACTTTTCTTGAGGTTGAGCTAGGAGAGCTAACCAGGAGAACAGCTGTCAGATCAGGCTCTAGTCCTCAATGGGATTCAACTTTTAATATGGTTTTACATGAAAACGCAGGAATCATCCATTTCCATTTATACGAGTGCACTCCTAATGGTGTGAAGTACAACTATATGGCAAGTTGTGAAATTAAGGTATTTGATGCTAATTTTATCAGAACTCTTGAGTCCATTATTGTTTAGTTAGTTACTTGCATGGTTTCTGGACAGAGACAGCACAAGTGCAACACATGTAACATAATTTAGAATCACAGCACTTATGCATGATTTTTGTTTATTTGGTCTTAGAGAATATGTCTATAAATAGCTGAATGGGTACTTTGTTATGAATATGTTTGTCTGGTTCTATTATAGCAAACATTCTGAAATTAAAACATGCCACTAACTGATGAAGATAGCAATTTGTACTGTTGAAAGTAATTCATAATTAGCATGTCCAAGTAATATTTTTTTTTTTCTTATTATCACAGCATATTTTATTTATAACATCTTTTATTGAATCATTAAGTTGATTTTTCTTTTCTTTTCTTTTCTTTCTGCCTATTGAGCAGATAAGATATGCTGCAGATGATTCCACAATCTTTTGGGCAATAGGATCAGATGCCAGTGTGATAGCCAGGCATGCTGAATTTTGTGGTCAAGAGATTGAAATGGTTCTTCCATTTGAGGGCATCAATTCTGGGGAGGTAAAGCTCTTCAGAATTCCTTTTGTATTAGTTATTTCTACTGAATAGAATTGCTAGATATTGCTATATAATTACCATATACAGTGGAAATTTTTTGCTTATTGGAACTTGTTGCATCAGGTTTTGAATTTTATTTGAATATTCAAAGAAGATTTTTTAAGAGAGGAATTTATATTTACAATATACTTCAATTTATGGTGCTTTTGATGAATGGCTCACTGATTGTGTGGTTTGCTATGATGTGGGACACCTTGGACTGATCGTGTGCTATTCTGGGTTGAGTCTGAATCATGTGAGTGGTGTTTGTTATAAACTCTAGATTGATAGATAAGCTTTTCTGGAGATAACTCAGAGATTAAATAGGAAGAAATTGAAATTACCAATTAACAATCTTACCAATTGAAATTACCACTTATTCAAACCTTTTCAGTTGGGCTGTTGGTTTCTGAAAAATTTGAAGTCTACATCTTGGTTTTGTAACTTATTGAAATCACTTCTTTCGAATTTTGTTTTGATTTCCAGTTTTGGTTTTCAAAGTCTGACAATGATACTACCCTTTCTTTTTAAACTGCTTGGCTTACCTTCTTGATGTGGATTCCCACTCCCTTGCTGCTATGATTGTGAACTCTGTTGATTAATTCATGTCAATCTAGGTACCAATAATTTACCAATGAAGATTTACCACTGATTCATCTTGCAAAGATGAAAGTAATCATTGGAATTGAAATTTATTTGTATGTCCCTAGGAAAGCAGTAATTTTTTCACTTGTCATTACCAAATTTAATGGTAGATGAACAAAATAGTTATCAGTCTTACCAAGAATATAGAATACTTTGTGCATAAACTCTATTAACTCTTTTGATTTGCTTCTTGGTTTTGAATGCTGAAACTTGTTGCCAACTTTTGTTCCATTTTCTTAATCACAGGGTCAATCACTAAGATGCAAAATTACTGTCTGATTCTTCTCTTTTTTGTGCATTTGTCAGTTGACAGTTAGGCTTGTGTTAAAAGAGTGGCAGTTCTCTGATGGTTCTCATAACTTGAACCATCTCCGTATTAGCTCTCAACAATCACTCTATGGCTCATCTAATTACCCATCAACAGCCGGAAGAAAGGTTAACATCACTGTTGTTGAAGGAAAGGATCTCATTGCAAAAGAAAAATCTGGAAAATGTAACCCTTATGTTAAACTGCAGTATGGAAAGGTAGCTATTGTTATTGCAAACGCAGAAAGCATAATTGCGTCTCACTACACATGTTCATATTGGAATTAATTATTCCCACCTGTGTTCTCTGCTGGGAACCTTCTCTGCAGGGTCTCCAAAGAACAATGACAGTCCATTCTCCAAATCCTCTCTGGAGTCAGAAGTTTGAATTCAATGAAGTAGCAGGTGATGAATACCTAAAGATTAAGTGCTACTCTGAGGAGATCCTTGGAGATGATAGTATCGGCAGTGCTCGAATAAGTCTTGAAGGACTTGTAGAAGGTTCTGCCAGGGATGTATGGATCCCCCTTGAAAAAGTTAATTCAGGAGAACTACGACTGCAGATAGAAGCTATTAGGGTCAACGACCAAGAAGGATCAAGGGTAACTTCTTATCAGCATGAACAAATAATCTTTTGCATGGTTTTGTTAGCTTTCACATTGCCTTTTCTGCATCCCGCATTGGTGGCTCTTTGCTACTGCAAAAATTATAGAAAAACATATAAATAGTCATTGCAGAACATAGAGGAGAAAAGGAAAGGACAAATAGAGAGAAAAAGGGAAGAGCATGAAGAAATGTAAAGCAGAAACTTGTCTTTGCTTCCATGTGCAAAAAATACAACAATTTAAAATACAATTTTGAAAATGGGTTTCAAAATCCTAAACTCAGCCTAATTAGAAAATCACAAATAAAATAGTAAGGTAGAGGATGATGATTATGCTAACAAAATCCCTACCACAAAAGAACAAGTAAATAACATAATTAAGCCCTAGTGACATAAATCAAACCTCTAAGGTTGTGTTTGATGAAGGATTCAAAATAAGGGATTTCAATGAAGAAAATATGAAGAAAGGAATCTTAAAGTCCTTTTCTAGATAACATTTCGTGTCAATAAAAAAAAAAGTTTTGGTTGTAAACTTGTAATACAAAAGCTTTTCATTTTAAAAAACCATTAAAAGATGGTTTTCTGAAATCCTATTGGGCAGTGGTCCAGCATCACAGAAAACATAAGGGAACTAAAAAAGACAAATGGCTGTTAAAATTTAGGGTTGAATTGCTAGAGCCTCTAATATTTATGAAAATTTTTATGGTTGTGTGTGAATTTTGAGAAACAACAAACCTAGAAGTTATCTTGGTAACTGGAGATTCAAAAATATAACAATACCTTGCAAGTCTCCCCATGAACTCTATCAGTCTTCACAGGTGGGAAAAAAGTACTAACTAGTTAGCCTTAGAGCATCTCCATTTGTGTATCCCCATGGTTATCTCCACTCATGGGAACAATGTTGTAAAAAGTGGGCTTAGGCGGTGCCCAGGCTCTAGGCAGTGTCATTTTGCCTGCATCAGCCTTTAGGCAGAAATTCAATGCAGTTTGCACCACTTAGATCAATTAAGCACGCCCAGGTATTATTAGGTGTGCTTAATAGCGCCTAAAATGCCTGAACAAATTTTTTTTGTTAAAGCCTAATGAAACGACGTTGTTTAATTTATTATAAAAATTATATTAAAAAAAACATTAAATGCCAAGTAATTCCCTCAAATTCTGCTTTTTAGACATGGTAATGAATAGAAAATTGTTTAATTTTTTTTGTTCATTTTGTAATTTTTAAAATTGTTTTATATATATTTTTTATTTTCTTAGAATTATATCAAAAAAATTATTTTAAAAAAAGACCGCCTAGTCAACTTAGGCACTACCTATGCACTCTAGGCTCTAGGTTGTGGATAATCACCCACTATCACCTAGCACTTTTTACAACCTTGCATGGGGATGCCCTAAGGGATACCAGCCCCCCCAGTGGGATTATATATATGTTATATATTTTTTCATCCTTTTACTTAGAAATATTAAATTTGGGAAATGTGGCTTGAATAGATAATGTTGGTGCAACTTTTGAGTCTCACTTGATTCCTCCCCATTGTAGAGGGTCTGCTTTAGATTCGAAATGTAGGTTGAATAAAATAATATAGATTGTGATGATGTGGCATTTGGATGGAGATGCTCTTATCTCCCATTGAAACTTTGTTATGAGAATAGGGTACTCAAAATTTAAACTTTGGAGCACTATTATTAGGCTTTTAATACCATAATAATGAATGATGGAGTTCAAGTTGACAGCTAGAGATGCAAGAATATGTTAATCTCTAAGACTAACCTAAACAATACTGTCCCGTCCACCATACCGTTGTGGCATGACCAATTTAAAGAAGTACATGTGAGTGCATATAGTTTGCAATATTTTCTATCATGTGATGCTAATATGATGTCCTATTTTCACTTTCTTCCAGGGTTCCACCACAGGTTCAGGCAATGGCTTGATTGAACTTGTTCTTGTTGAAGCGAGAGATCTTGTAGCTGCTGACTTAAGAGGGACAAGTGATCCATATGTAAGGGTGCACTATGGCAACTTGAAGAGAAGAACAAAGGTTTGTCAGTCCTGCTCTGATTTTTGAATGCAATATTTGCTTTGTGAATATAGACTTAAATGATAGTTTTAATAATAAAAATCTTCTCCTTTCCTTTATGTTTTGGTTATAGTGAAACCGATTTTATTTTTATTTATACCAAACAGACTCATAACAAATTTGTTTCTAACTGCTGCATTGCCCTTGTCTCCACCGATCATTACACAAAGATATAGCTTCCAGTTCCCCATCCTCCCCCCCTTCAATTTTTCATATAATATAGCTGTCTATCTTAATTATGCTTGCAAATGATGGATGAAATTTAAGATATTCAGCATTATCTCTTTATTTTCTCTTGGATCATATACTGATTCAACAACTTAATAGCTCATCACTACTTCATGGCTTGGCTTTCAGGTTATGTTCAAAACGTTGAATCCTCAATGGAATCAGACCCTAGAGTTTCCTGATGATGGCAGTCCCTTAGAGTTGCATGTGAAAGACCATAATTCCTTACTACCAACATCAAGCATAGGTGACTGCGTTGTAGAATATCTAATGCTTCCTCCAAACGAGATGTCAGACAAGTGGATACCCCTTCAAGGTGTGAAAAGGGGAGAGATACACATTCAAATTACAAGAAAAGTTCCAGAACTACTAAAGAAATCCAGTTTAGATGCTGATCCTTCTTTCTGTAAATCCAGCCAAATTTCTAGCCAGGTGCAAACATTTTGTTCATTTCATTTTCCTTTTTTGCCTTTGGATATTATTTGAAGCATAAGACAAGATCCTGGCATCCTGTAGATATTTTATCCAGCGTGCATTATTATCAGGAAAGCTAAACCTCATGATATATACGTCTAACGCCACACAAACTTGTTTAATATAGCAAAAGTCCTGGTTGTCTCTAGGTTTTCTTACTGCTAATTTAACCCCACATTCTAAGGACATGTAAACTCTTTGAATTGCAAAACAGACGTAACTGATATCCAACACTGCTTTGCTAGGAGTTCAAATGACATCATATCTGACATTTATCTTTTTTCTTAAATGCAACTCTGCAGATCAAACAAAGCATTACCAAGCTTCAATCGTTAATTGAGGATGGAAATATTGAAGGGCTCTCCACAGCTTTGACTGATCTTGAAGCACTCGGTTATGAACGAGAAAAGAACATGGTACAGCTCGAGAATGAGCAAATGCTTCTACTTGACAAGATAAAAGATCTTGGTCAGGAAATCTCTAACTCTTCACCTTCTTCAAGTAGATCTTCTGGATCTTGAGCCTCCCTGATCACTTTTTGTATAAATGTAATGTTGCATATACAAATTATGTTAGAGATAGATGAATGTATTTATGTATATGGTACTACGGTAATTATCCTCATTGTTAATGTAGCTTCCTGCTGTGTGAAGTTATATGTGAGATTATGGATCCATCATATATTGAAAAAATATTGTTTTCAATCTGGACTGGCAAAAAAGAAGTCAGTCCAATTGGAAATTGTTAATAGCTGGGAGTAGATGATTTTTGGATGGGTTCTTTTGTGGTTTTCGTTTAGTTTCATATGAATTATATAATGATCATGTAAATTTGTTTGATTTTTTTTTTTTTTAACTCAAAAATATATATATAAAATTAATTAAATATTAAATATTAAATATTTATATTTTCAGTTTTTGTGTTGTGTAAAAAGAGTATAAAATATTGATACATGAAGCCTTAATTAAATTAATTTGTGTAACAAAAAATTATTATATAGTTTGTGGACTGAATAACTTAAAACAGTTTGATAACATCTTTATTATTAGGTGTTATCCTTTTTATCACACAATTCTTGTTTTGCTGTATGATTC